ATAATAAAAATATAGTAATACGTACCATTAGTTTAACAAAATTTGAAGGAATAAAATAAAAATATTTTTTAGAAAGGTGAGTTATATAAATACTATAATACCGTGCATAAAGAAAACCTATTGAAAATGTAGTTGACATACAAATTAAATTGCATGTACTTGTTACGGATGCCCTATGCTTAAATATAATATATTAATTATCATGAAATTTTGTTTTTACTGAATTACTCTTTTATTATAAAACAAAAGTTAATTTAATTATATTATATATAGGGTTGAATGTGATCTGTTCAAGTGTCTACACTCATAATTTCAAAAAGTTATGACTTTTTAAAAAACATAATAATTATTAATGAAACAATATTATTAGGTAACATTTTTATCTTGATAATTTTTTAAATTTATTTACTAATCTGATTAACGACATAATATATTTTAATTTAATATTCCAAGGCAGAATATTTTTCTAAGTGCTTCGATAGATACAAATCGAATTACGAAAGAGTAGTTAATTAGTTTTAAATATATATATAGCTTAAAACTAACATTTTCGAAGTTTTTCTTTTATAATTTTCAAGTTTTGTTTTTGTAAAAACGTAGCTTAACGGTGTCGTAAACTATCTAACTTGGTTTTGATATTGGATCAAAAATCCTACTACTGAAAAATTAAAAAAACATGCAATTTATATACGAAAATGGTAATCTACTGGTGTCACCAGCACTTAGGTTCGAAAAAATGTTTGTTGTTATCTACTTGAGTGCCGTTTACTCGAATGGTGTAGCTCGGTTGCTCTAACCGCTCTGGTCACAATACAATTCTTCTCCTTCAAATTCTATTTGACTTAAGCTATTTGTATGGTTTCAATTGGTTTAAATATCACTGTTTTAAATCAATAACATCAAAATTATATTAAAATACAACTGAAAATGATTCCATTATTTTCTAAGTATGACAAGAAATGCAATTTAAAACGGTCAATATCGGTTTAAAATCTAAATACATATTTGTTAAATAATATACAAAATAGTTTTTATTAGATAAGTTATTACTTTACACTTTATAGCTTGAAGTTTTTTACCGGTTATTATTAGTTATTACTTTTTAGTTTGTATTAAGTAAGATTTAATATATTTTTATTATTGTTGTTACTCATTTATGGCGTGTACATAATCTGTTCCCATCGAAGGTTAATCTACATAATCAAACATGTCTCAACATTAATTGTCAGTGACTCGCCTTCGTGTGCTTATCATTTACATTGGTTTTTGATTTATAAATTGTAATAAATATTATTATTGCAATGGAATGAGTTTTTGTGACATACTATTATTATATTGCACTCATTACTAATGAATCTAATTTTATAATTTTATAATAGGTATATCTCATATATGAGTTAAAATTAAAAATGTTAAACGTATATTTAATACATTTGTATTCAAATTATATTATAACCTCAATATCAAAAATATTTTTAATTTATTTCAGTCCCAATAGGTGTATTGAGTTTATGCTATACGTATACCCATCAATCTGGTATTTAGTAACAATAATGTATGACATATAGGCAGTGGTGGATTGAACTTAAATTTTAAATGACTCATTTTTCATAATTTAGTACTTATCACCGCCACCACTACCAACCATTATAACTCATAACAAAGTTATGATATTTTAAATAAAATGAGCCAATGTAATTCTGCGCCACAGACTGCACAGGGTGATATCACCCCCTTTGAAAAAGTTGACGCAATTGCATCAAAATTGAGCCCTTCAGTTCGCCACTACGTATAATAAGTACTAGGTATGTATAAAACGATTGACTCAGTGTTATGACCGGATGAGTTGGTGACTTATATTACCGTTTATTATTATCACGCGATTTTAAGCACTATTATTAGATAGTAATAATAATAGCAATATACAATATATCATTATTGTACAGTTTGAAGTAATTAGTTTGTCCAATTACACGAATAACGAGCGTAAATTTAATATATAATATATTATATTTACAATGTGTACATGTCAACATTACATTATTACTATAACCTGATTTTATGTATATCAAAAATATAATTAGGTAGTACGAAGGATACACGTAAGTACCTACATAGCTGAAAGTCTTGCATCGAAAGTAAATGTTTTGTTACGTACCTTCCAGAGGACTGTGCGTGTACCGGACGCGCGACAGCAATCGTGGTTTTAACTTTAATTACTCATAAATTAATTTTTAATATTTACTCAACATCATGGGTAATAATTATTACACCGTATACTGGTTATTCGTACACGCGTATATTTATATATATAACACATAACTATTTTAAACTCGTTATTAAATACCATATTATTAACGGCTTATTATATGTGTACTGTTCGTTTTCATTACGCGTGTAATTATTTATTGGCTGTTGTAGTACTTACATAGGTACTCGATGTCTTCTAGTGCAGTTGGATATTATTCGTATTTTCATACACAACAATACCCGTTATGTACCTGCCCATGGGCACTATAGAAATCGCCGTAATCGACGTTTCCGTTGGACCCATAACATAATAATATGATATTAGGTACCTATAATAAAATAAAATATTATGTGTAACAAACTAAACAATATTTGCTCATAATCATTTCTGACATTCACCTAAAACATAATCTTTTGGAATGAAAACAACATAACATGTCGCAAAAACATTGTAACGTATTGGCATTGAATACGCAGACAGTCATACGTCATGCTATCTGATATTCTAAAGTACAAACGATATAAAGTTGTAAATTAAAGTTCAAGTTAATAGTTGTGATATAAGTCAGAAAAACTTTTAATAATAAGTAATAATAATCAACAATTATATTATACTATACTGTACATCTTATAATATGAAAAATGGTAAAACATTTTTTTTTTTTTTATGTAGTTTCATGTATGTTATATTCAAAGAAAAATTTAGGTGGTACAGCGTACCAGCGGACATTATACGAGTATTATCCGAGAGCTTTGTCGATACTTTCTCCTCGGCTGTAATTATAATTTCTAAGATTATGAAAACATTATTTAACCTGCATGTCGTTCGATTTGACTTAATTAACGTTCTCGAGCCTTGAGTGTTGGAATTAAAATAATATATAATATATATTACGCCCGAGCCGTCTCAAACTTCACAGCGTTGTGTGTGGGTACGTTTCATTTTTTATCTCGCGGCCTCTTGCCGACAGCTCAAGGACAATAAATATAACGAGACGTATCCGCGCGGGTCGGTCAGCCGCCGTGGACGACTCGCCTTTTCGCGTAACCGTGGTCATAGATACGTTCGCTTTTGCACGGACCTAACCGCGTTTAAGTGGCGAGTACCCGGGTTATTAGTCGATGCTATATGCGTGCTAATGATTGGGAAAAAAACCATCTGCAATCGTCGAGATATCGTGTCGCCGTCGTCGTACGTGAACACTGAACACGAATCTCGGCTGCGAAGCGCGACGACGTCGACCGCGAGTCGTCCGATTTCCTCGTCATTTTCAGTCGGGCCATATTATATCCTCCACGTCCTGCAGCTGCAGTCCACACTATTACCAGCTATTATCTACATCTACTGGTTAGCGTCAAGTCGGTTTAAACAATTTATTTTATATTTTACTATAAACGGGTACGACTGTTCGAGTGCGTAAGTCGCCGTAAGTGTGTGTGTGTGTGTGTGTGTGTGTGTGTGTGTGTGACAGTTCCAGGTCGGTCTCATTACGTTGCATAACTATATTATAAGTTACTTCTCGTTTTGGACACACTCGTCTTGGCTATATTATAGCAGCTGTGTACCTACGCCGCCACAACATTCTCGTCGGAATAGAAAATAACGCACATAAAAATACGTGAGGCGGCGGTTGTTTGCACACATACCACACTGCACAGGTATTATGTATTATATATATAGCTCGATCCCACATCGGAGAGATTAACATAAATAACGAAATATATATATCAGCCTCAGGGGCGCCTCGGACCGGTTTTTCGAAGACCGACTACGCCACCGCACCGCCGCCGCCGCCGCGGTCGCCTCACGACGACGAGTTTGGGTCACCTAAATCTCGCGGATAAAATCCCTAGAGGCTATTCCTCCCTTCCCGCCCCGCCGACACTGCCAAAAAAAAAAAAAAAAAACAAGATATTGTGTTGGTAACTACGAAGTTTTCATTTATAGTAAAATATATAAGTCAAAAATTGCTATCGACCTATTATCGATCTATCGTCATGATACATAATAAAATATAATAATATAAAAATCAAATGAAGATTGTACACGAAGATTAATAATACTACAACTAATAATAATAATAATGATGATAAAAAAAAAAAATAATAAAATAATAATAAAAATTTTACATCGAAAAGTATAAATATATACAATTGCATAAGGTACAGAATTAGGAAGAACGTAATTCTATTATAAAATTAGACAATTTAGGTATTATTAAATGTTGTGGGCTTTCGAAAAAAAAACGAGTGACGAAACCATCGTTGACGGCTATCATATTTTCTACATGGTTTAATAATATTATTGTCTCGCTGATTTATTGTGTTTCATTCGTGGGTATTTGTTTTTATTCGTTCCTTTTTCTTTAAAGCTTAAACTAATGAAATGTTAATAAAATAATTGAAATAATATGATTGTTGACGTTTATAATAATATTATGTCACAAGTAGACGTGGATTTAATTTTGATACGTTTTTCGATGTTGTGTGAGATCGTTTCTTTTTATTTTGATTTGAACAAACTATAACTTTTCTGATCTCAATCTATATAAAAAAAAATTGTATTTTATGGTCTTAAAATATATACCCAAAGTGCAGGTAATATAATTACAATATGGTGTTGATGAGTTACATGGTTTTTGCTATATGATGGAACTTACGTATTTTGCATAATATTTATATCGTAACATCCGGCGTATAGAAAAAAAGAGTTAAGAAATATATTAAGTTTATACATATATATTTTAAAATTAGTATTTAGCTCCTGCTGCTGGGGTCTTGGAGACATTGGCGAAAAATCCGTTGTCCCAGTCGGCGTAGTAGGTGACTGTCCTTATGGAACCGTCCGGCTCGACAAGGCTGTATTCTCCTTTCACGACTTCACCATCACGTTCTTCTTTTTGGCTCTTCTTGTCACCTGTGTACGAGTCGTCTACGCTGTATTCGTAGGCGTATCTTGGGTTCTCATCCTGAAATATGTATACAAAATACAATAAATCGCTGGGTCATGGGATTCGTATTTAGTTTACGAGACATGTATATACTCGTAGTCTTTGTATTATTGCAATAGTAAGATTACATAATGACATATTTTTAGCATACGAGCTAGTTGATGCAAAAATAAATAGGCAATAATATTGTCCTACGCCTAGTGACAATTAATATTTGTTTCCACGTTATATTGTGAAAAAATTTAGATTTCGGAAATCTGTAACAATTTAATACGTTTTCCGTCGACTTTAAAACGTATGTAAATATAAAATATTTACATTTCAACACAAACATTAACCGATTTAAATAATATTATATTATATAATATAATAAATGCGTTCATATTGTTTTGGTAAATACCTAGCTATTATTATTATTACTATTATTTAATTTTTTCTTATTATGCTTACGTAATTTTCCAAGTGGGTGTTTACAACGTTCTTGGTCGGCCCGGTTTTTGGCGGTGTGACGTAGCTCGCGTACGTCTTAGCTGGTGCGTATGACTGGGCTGCTGGTCCGTATGCCGGGGCTGCTGGTGCGTATGACGGGGCTGCTGGTGCGTATGACGGGGCTGCTGGTGCGTATGACTGAGCTGCTGGGGCATATGCTGGGGCAGGTGCAGGGGCGTATGACAGTGATGGGTAACTTGGGGCGGCAGCAGAGTACGATGCCGATTGGTAGCTCTGGGAAGCGGAGTACGAAGGGGCTGAGTAGCTGGGAGCGGCAGAGTATTCGGGGGCTGGGCCGTAAGAAGCGACTGGAGAGTACACGGCGATTGGAGAGGACGAGTAAGATTGTTTCGATGACGTATACGCGGCCGGCGAGTATGCTGGAGCTTTGGCATACGATTGTTTGGAATCGTAAGACGGAGCTTTGGTAACGTATTCTTGTTCATGCTCGTCACATTTTGGTGGGGCGACTTCGACGTACGATGACGGAGTAGAGTATGCTATGGACTTATGTGCTGGTGCAGAGTATTCGGGCTTGGCGGCCTTGTAGCTGCTGCTCGAGTACGAGTTGTAGCTCGATGGCTGATATTTGGGTGCGGGAGTAGAGTATTTTGGTGCAGAAGCGTACACTGGTTCTGGGACGGCGTAGCTCGGAGCTGGTGTGGAGTAGCTCACCGGGGAGTATTTTGGTGCGGCCGGAGATGCGTAAACTGGTTCAGGGACGGCGTAGCTCGGGGCTGGTGTGGAGTAGCTGACCGGGGAGTATTTTGGTGCGGCTGGAGATGCGTACACTGGTTCAGGGACGGCGTAGCTCGGGGCTGGTGTGGAGTAGCTGACCGGGGAGTATTTTGGGGCGGCCGGAGATGCGTAGTTTGGTTCTGGTACGGCGTAGCTGACGGCCGGTGCGGAGTAGCTGGAAGATGAGTAGCTGGATGAAGAGTAGCTCGGTGCCGAGTATTTTGGTTGAGAGTAGCTGGCCGGTGCTGGTGAGTAAGACTGGCTAGGAACTGCGTAGCTCGGGGCGGCGGTAGAGTAGCTGGATGATGAGTAACTGGATGAAGAGTAGCTGGATGGCGAGTATTTTGGTTGGGAGTAGCTGGAGGATGCTGAAGAGTAAGATGGGTTGGGTACAGCGTAGCTGGGAGCTGGAGTCGAGTAGCTGGATGCAGAGTATGCAGCTGGAGCTGGGGAGTAGGCAGGTTTGCTTACGTACAACTGTGGTGCTGGAGAGTACGAGTAAGATGGTGCGGCGGTAGTGTATTCGTGTTGTGCAGCGTCTTCACATTTCGGGGTAGTCACTGAGTACGGTGCAGCTGGTTTGTAATCGCCTTTGTATTCATGTGGTGTGTATTCGGTGGTGCTAGACACGTATTGTGGGGCTTCGTATTTGGGTGTGGAGTATACTGCTGGTTTGTACGCTGGGGCAGAGTACGCAGCCTTTGCTGGCTTGTAATTGTTGGTGTAGCTCGGTGAAGAGTATTTTGGGGTGCTTGGTGACGCGTAGCTCGGGTCAGGAACTGCGTAACTCGGAGCTGAGTAGCTCGGAGCCGAGTAGCTGGGAGCCGAGTAGCTGGCCGATGAGTAACTGGCAGCCGAGTAGCTAGGAGCAGAGTATTTTGGTGCGGCCGGAGATGCGTAGTTTGGTTCTGGTACGGCGTAGCTGACGGCCGGTGCCGAGTAGCTCGGTGCTGAGTAACTCGGGGCTGAGTAGCTTGGGGCCGAATAGCTTGCTGCTTCATAGCTGGGCTTGAAGTAAGCAGGTTTGGGTGCTGCAGGAGCGTAAGATACAAGACTTTGGGTGTAATCAGATTTGCTAGGTCCATATTTTGGTGGATGAGAGCACCCATCATCGTGTTGATGACTTTCTGCCTCGTATTGGCAGCTACAGCTCACGGCCAATAACAACGTAACCGCTAATACCTTTTAATTATAAAGAAAACGATTTAAAAAACGTTAACATCGTAAGACAATAATATATACGTAAGTTTATAATATATTTTATAAATTTATTAAATTATTAATATGTAAAAACAATTTAACTGATTAATACGTAGAGGTGTATTACGAGTAAGTATAATATTATAGAATATTATATTATATGGATTGATGTAAGTATATGATATTATTTTGTATTTTTTTTTCTAATTGAATATGTATTTAAAAATAATTAAACGTCTTGGAAATAATTTAAGACAGTGAACATTTAAAAAAAAATTTGTTTTTACATACCTTTAATTCCATAGCGGCGATTCTCTGGATGCTCGGGGAAAAAAAAAATCACTTAAACCCGCGAGTAAATCGAATTTAAACTAACACGAAAACCAACACACTGCGCACGATTCGATGCGGTTCGTTAGACGGACACCAATCACTAGGTGCAAGCCCGCGTTTAAGATTTTATACATAATACATCCCACTTCTGTCATGAGGCTAAAAAAACAGACCAGCGTACGGTTATCTCCTACCCGTTGCAGATTACTATCACCTTGTCACCAGTTAGAGCCCCTGAGGCGGTTTTTTGGTCCAAACGTTTGGGTGTGGTTACTAAGGGGGCCGGTTATGCGCTGGTGTGGCTATAATATGCAACAACGTTGCCCCCTGGTCAATATCCATGTTGTATATAGTTATTTAATATTATAGCCATCGTTTTTATCGTCAATAATTATAACGGCCACGGTATATATTTTGAAGCAGTCCGCATAACCGCAAAACAAAATATCAATTTACAGCTGAGATATTATAGCCGCTATACCTACTGCAGCCTGATGAAATATTATGTTTGTTACGAATGGCCTTGAAATGTATTAGATAACGCACCGAGCGTTCAATACGTTCAGAACGTTTAAAACGAGATTTCATTTTCTTTTGGGAAATACCTATCGAAAATGTGCTCATTGTTATACATTGACATGACGTTTGACCGTTCAAAATATTTAGCACCCACTTTCAATTAAAATCACACCTCGTTTAATTAGGATTTATTTTTGAGCGCATTAACTTTTATGCGATGCTAATACGTCGATTAATTTATTAAGTAACGCCTTCGGTTTTCATGTTCATTAGTGATACATAAAATGATACCCCGGGGTACTTAGTTACAAGCCCATTATACGATGTAATGAACAAAAATCATTAACAATTCAGTCAACGCTGACATGGTATACCGGTTTTTTCCCCGTTACCATTAAACGAAACACAAGTATTTGACAGTGAACATTTGTTCAGTGCGTGTGGGTACGAACAAACTATGTTGGACAATACAATAATAAAAAATATGAAAATAGAATAATAATTGTATACAAAATTAACTATTTAAAAAACATTTAACTCGAGTTATTATATTATATTATTATCATAATATACGGCCGTGACTGCGGGCTTTGAATTTAATTACGACCAGTCACGGTGCGGTGATTTTCGCGATTTATTACGCGTTCGTACTGCACATTTTGTTGTATATAGGTGATCAATTTTTATGCTGTATATATTGCGGCGGTCCACGTTATGGTTATCGTTGAAACAAATCGAGGGAAAACAGCACCAAGTATGGTGAATTGTTGCGTAATTCGTAAATAAGGGACGGGGATGGGATTAGGATTGATTAGCCGTCTATGAGCCATTTCATGCCCAATACATGATGACGACAATTTATTTATTCAATCAAGAATTTGATATTTGCAGGTTGTAATAATTATTTTATTAATTAGGTAATTTTAATTGTTATGAGGACACAATTTATTTTCATTTTTATTCGATATAATATTATGATTCACAGTCAAAGATCACTCAAAAATGATCTGGATAAGATAACAGATAATTAATTGAATCTTAATTTAAAACTTACATATTTTGTAAAATAGCATTTTTGTTATAAATATAATAATTTACACATAGGTAAATTTAACGAATTTCCGAACACTATTCACATATTGTATATAAGTGTATAATACTGAAGGGCGCTTAGCATACGTATTTGAGCATCAAGAATTAGTTTTTTAATTTTGAATAATAAGATTACGGTCAGCCGTAGGTCTAAGTTAAGTCCCAATCTTAAACTTCATGAAAATTAGTAATTGGTACGTTATTAATTTACTACTGTAGTTGTATTTGATATATTTATAAATTATATATATATATATATATATATATAATATTATGATATATTTATATTTGATGTATTTATACATTTGATATATTCAAAAATTAATTTAGGTAGGTACCTATCAATACGAAATATTATTATTAAAAACTAGGTTAAGATAGTGTTATGGAATAAATGACAATTGTACCCATGGTTAAAGTAAGTGCAGGTCAGCCATTGACAATTACCTTATAATTTATTAGGTTAATAATTATTGTATTAGAGATGAGATGAGACTTTTCTGTAGAAAAAGGGTTCTTGGTAGGTGATCGTATGACGTGATCACTTTATAGACCACCGGTTTTAAAGAAAGTACTTATATTTATTAATCGTTCGTTTATTTGTGTACATTTGAAGTTATTGGATACGACATACATATATTAGGTAGGTAAAATAAAAAAGTATGGGTTTGAAAATAAAATTCTTTTTTTTTGATAAAAAAAAAAAAATTCTGTTGATTCATACATTTATATATTAAACAATTATATTTTTGTTGGGCCATTTATATTTATATTCGACAAATCTTATTGTTAATAGAACCAACTCAACAGGCTGGAAGTTCTAAAAATCTACCAATAAGTTAGTCGAGTTGAATAATAATTTTTAAAATATTTGTATTTGCAACAATGGTAAACGCATCATTACTTTCAAAAAATTAACAATCGGCTTTTGTTAAATTAAATGGACATTAATCTATCATTTAAAATATTCTATTATTGCGTTATTCTGTGCATTCACGAAATGTGTTTTTTCTGCAGGGTTTAACAATGCAGTCCAACGGTCCTTTTAGGGTCTTGTATGTACGTATAATATTCACAGGGATGAATACGTGCAAAGTCGTCTCGAGGCAGTGGCGGAAACGAGTGGGAAGGATCACGGATCTACTGAGCGCAGAAAAACATTAATCACGTGGAATGCCGCTCGTTAAGAGTAAAATAAAAAAAATTCTATATTATGAGATAACATAATATTATAACATTGCACAATGTCTGTGAAGAAGAGAGAGAGAGAGAGATACACACGACTGTTATATTATTATACAGTCGCAGAAAAGATTCGGTACGGAATACGTTTGCATGTCCGAAGGCGCACTGCCCATAATAATATATATTATTATCATATTATACATTTTATTATATTATTATTCAGTGGCGTCGAATTATTAGGTACACGCGTCACACGACGCGCCTCGGCGGCCGAGATAAAAATCGGAATGCGCGCGCGCGCTCACAGAGAAATACACGACGAGATGGCAGATAACCCAAACTGTCATCGAGATAATACATAATAGTAATAATAATAATAATAATAATAATAATAATAATAATAATAATAATAATAATAATAATAATAATAATAATAATAGTAATAACAACAATAATAATAACAGTAATAATATAATAATAGTAATAATAATAACAACAACAACAACAACAACATAATAATATTAATAATATTTTTCGCGTGCCATCTGACGGGCGAGCTGGGGCGGCATCGTGTAGCCCCCCGGTGCGCAGGACCCCCCCTGATCATCATCAGTCCGTCAACATGTCCGCCGCACACGCCAAAATATTATTTGTCGCTCCGGAGGGGACGCGCGCTCACAAATACCGCCAAAGTCCGCACACGCCCCCGCTCATCATCCCCGGGACGCTATTGCAGTCGTCGTCGTCGTCGTCGCTGTCCGCCGTTGCGCAACGGACTTGTGGGCAGATTAGAATCGTTGCGGACTCGACGGAGAATTTTCGCCGTTTCCAATTCGCGAGTACACACGGGTATGACCCGTTTAGATCATAATAAATAATATGTTCGTGATATTCCGAAAAGAAATGGGGAAAAAAAAAACATTGTGTAATTAAGTTGAATAACAGCCAAACAAGTTCACCCAATCATGAGCGACGCGTTATTATGTTATTATTATTATTATTATTATGGTCGGCATGGCTATATGGATTACGGTACACGGAGGAAAACGGTTTTAATTGTGCGGCGCACAATGTCTATACACCCGCGCGGCGTATATACGTTATTATGCATAAACATTTTTTTTTTTGTGCTTTAACGCATGACGCCCAGCGAACTGGTTCTGAAGTTTTGTGGTGATCTAACATTGTGACCGTTTTATAATTGGAAACCTACGCGGCATTCAATTGGTACAGCGGTATGTTATAGGTGTTGCTCGTATTATTATAACATAGAAGTTTCAGCTCGCTTTATTCCACCGAGAACATTAAAAACGCTATACTTAAACACACGTCTCGGACTACTTTAAACATTTATATAACGAATTAAATATTATTATATTATTATGTTATTGAAAATTTTCATAATGGGAATTTGATGTGATTTTTTTTTCTGTTATTGTAAATCCATTGAACATATCGCGAGGCTTATCTTATAGATCTCAAGCCGTTGTATAACACCATTGTACAACACGTTTTATATTTTATTGTCACCGTGTCCGCATTATTACTGATATAACTGGATACTGAAAATATTGTGCCATGACCTACGCATAATAATGGCTCCGCGGTATATAGGTATTGCTAGTATTATATAGAAGTTTCCGAGAGCATAATTCACCAAAAAAAATTTAAAACACTCAGATTTACATGCGTTGATTTATTTTCAATTTATATTAAAATGGATTAAAAATTATTTTTATTTAAGGCTTATAGTAATACTAAATATAAGTAAAATAATTAGTAAATATTTAATATAATCGTTAGTTTTTATTATTTTTTTATTGATTCATGGCCATTAGCTGTTTGTAGGGTTGTATTGAGGTGGTGGTACAGGGTTTGGAATGGTGAGTTTTTACACTTGAGTGTTTGTGTTTGGCAGAATTTTGAAGTGGCACCCGTAGGTATCTGCCATGCCCGGGTGGGGGATAACGACCTTTATCTCCGGACACCGTGACTATCCGAAGATGGATTGCAACCCACGTCTTAGTCCACTGGGCCATTCCGACTCCGTTCCCCCTTAAGACTTTTAATAGGAATTTTATGTGATTTTTTTTACTATAATTGTAAATCTATTGACAATATTGAAGATTATCTTACAGATCTCACACCGTTGTATACAACACGTCCTGTTTTTG